GGTAAATAGAGACATGAAATATATTAAAGATTAAACGGCTACAGCAATTCTTGGGAACACAGTCCCAATACAGTCATGATACAAAAAGGAAGAGATCCCAGGAAGGCTCCCATCATACAAAACAAAATTCATGGCAAAGGAAGTTCCAAGCTTAGCCATGAAGTCAGCAGCCGTGTTAGCTTCCCTATAAATATGGGATATTTGAGCATCAGCAAAACGTCCCAAAGGTGATCTGCAATCAGACATAACAACGCCAAGTGAGTGAAAAGAAATATCAGTAGACTCAATAAGGATAATAGCAGTTTTTGAGGCGGTTTCAACAATAATTTTAGAGAACCCTTTGGAAATAGCAACTTCCAAGCCATCTCTGATGGCCCATAACTCAACAGCTATGCTAGTAGTCCATCCAATATTTCGTGAAAAACCAATAATCCACCTGCCTAAGTGATCCCAAAGAAGACCCCCAACTCCAGCCATGCTTGGATTTCCAAGGGCAGATCCATTACTATTAAGTTTGACAAACCCAGAAGGGGGTGGAACCCAACCAACAGAAATGGTGTTTTTGGGTTTAGGTTCAGCACAGTTAAGGTTGCTCTCAATGAATTCCTGAGCTTTGTCTAAGGTAGTGCGCTTAAGTTCCATAATAGGGATCTGTCTTCTGTCATGCACAAGTTGATTTCTAGAATACCATATGGACTAGATAGCATAAGAAAAAAAAGTAGGCCATGTAGAAGGAATATTATTGGGGTTCTTCCAGCAAACGTTGGATTTAATCCAACTTTTAAAGTCAAGATTTTGGTTATGAGAGGTGCTGGAATAAGGTGTAATGGAATCCCAAAACGACAAAGCATACTAGCATTCTCTAAACAAATGATCCAAAGTTTCAGGTCCATTGCTGCACTCAGGAGTTGGGACACCTGCTATTTTGAACCACTCCCCACTGAGCACGTGTCAAAAGTAAGGATTCTACCATGCATACAAAGCCAGAGGAAATATTGGATTTTGGGGATGGTACTGACTTTCCAAATCCAAAACCAATCATCTTCATTTGACCGTTGAATGTTCTTTGCCATATAGTAGGCAAATTTTATGGAGAAATTGCCATTCGAAGACGAATTCCAAATAAAGGAATCTTTCTCAGAACTATATTTCTGGATAGGAGTAGCAGCAATTCTTTGAATGATATCTTGAGGTAGAGGATAGGCAACATGATCCAGATTCCATCTACCATTAGGAAGTAAAATATCTTTCAAGGTGAGATTAAGGTCATGCAGCCTAAAAGGACCATGAAACAAAGAACAAAGAGGATCCTTTAGGAGCCATCTATCTTGCCAAAAATAAATTCTGGAGCCATCACGGGGATCCAATTAATGCCCTTTTCTATAATATCCCTACCTTTAGCAATGTCTTTACAGACAAGGGAGGACGATGTAGAGAAATTATGATAGGGCGTTTTGATCTTATATTTGGAAATAAAGGCCTTGGCCCAAGGTTTTTGGGCTTTGGTGTTCAACCTTTAGTGAAGTTTGGCCATGGCAACTTGATTGGTTTCTTTGTTGGCTCTGATACTGATTCCACCAACTTTTTTTGGTTGAGTAATCCTATCCCAGGAAATTAATTTGGCTTTCTTCTTAGCAGAAGTAAAACCCCAAATAAAATTTCTAAAGATAGCATCAAGCTCATTTTGGATAGATGTAGGAAGGAACATACCTTGCATATAGTAATTAGGGATAGAAGCAAGGACAGAAGATACCAAAGTAGCTCTCCTAACAAGAGAGAGCATATTAGCCTTCCATCCCGTAAGCTTAGATCTAACTTTGTCAACAATAAAGCCACAATCAGATTTTTTGATCTTTCTCGGGGAGATAGGAAAGCCCAAATACTTTCCTAAAAAAAGAGTTTCCACATAGCCAAGGATTTGGCAAATATCCTGTCTAGTGGATGAATAAACATTGACAAAGAATGAAACTTTAAACTTCTCTTGATTAATACTCTGCCCCAGCAAAAACAAAAGAAATCCAGCAATTGCTTGAGGTAAAGAGCATTAGAGGTTGTAGCTTTACCAATAAAGATAAGGTCATCCGCAAAGAATAGGTGGGAGAATAGTGGACCAAATTTTCCCAACTTCGAACCTTTCTAGAGACCTGAATTGGTACCATGATGGAGATTTAAGGATAGATATTCCAAGTAGAGGATAAATAGATATGGGGACAGGGGATCCCCCTGCCTAAGGCCTCGAGATGGTTTAAATGACTCTGTTACTCCTCCATTAATAATACAAGAAAAGGAAGCCGAGGAGATACAGAACATAATGAGCTTAATCATCAAAGGAGGTAAATTAAAAAAGGTGAGGGTCTCCTTTATGAAGCTCCATTCAAGGCAATCATAAGCCTTTTCCAAATCCAGTTTAGTAATCATGTCACCTTTGTTCCCCTTTTTTTATCAAAGGAATGAACACATTCTTGAAGAAGAGTAACATTATCAATGCCATTGCAACCTGGTATAAAATTAGATTGCATAGGAAGTATCAAATCTCCCATCAACTTTTTAAGGCGAAGGACAATAATTTTTGTAACAACCTTGTAAGACACATTGCAAAGACCAATAGGCCTGTACTGAGAAATAGAATCTGGCTTATTGATTTTAGGAATAAGTGCAATGAAACTCGCACTCCAAGATTTAGGCATAAAACCCGAATTAAAGATATTCCTAATCTCATTACAAAGCTTATTCTTAACCACATACCTAAATTTTTGAAAAAAAGCTGCATGGAGTCCATCAGGACCATGGGCCTTGATAGGTTTCATGGAAAAGATAGTTTATTTGATCTCAGAATCAGAAGGAGGGATGTTTAACATATGCCATGAAGTAGGATCCACAATAAGACCACTATAAACATTAATGAATGAGTCATGAAAAGAATGAGCAAGTGAAGTGGTATACAGGCCCTTGAAGGTGGAGGACACTATACTTTCAATAGAAGAAGGATCAGAAGTCCAAGAGCCAGAACCATCCTTTACACCTAAAATACGGTTCTTAGATCTGCGTTTCAGGGTAGAGACATGGAAAAATCTAGAGTTCTTGTCACCATTTTGAATCCACTGGACACGAGATTTCACAAACCACATGTCCTTTTCATACTTCAAAATATCTTGATACTCTTTAGTGAGAGATTTCTCTAGTTCAATAAGAAAGGAGCTATCTTTGACAGTTAAGTAACGTTGAATACCTCCCAATCGAGCGATAAGCTCTTTCTTCTTTTTATGGAGGTTGTCAAAGGTAGTTCTACTCCAAAGTTTCACAATGTTTTGTAAAGCAACTGAGCATTCCTCAATAGATCAATTGGCAGAGGTCCAACTAGAAACAACAAGATCTTTAAAAGATTTGTGCTCTAGCTAGAACTTCTCAAGTATAAAAGGTCTCCTATTTAAGGATGGATATGGTTGATCAAGGCTTAAGAGAATAGGACAGTGATTAGAGTGAAGCCAAGGAAGATGTAGTAAGGATGCTTCAGGACAAATAATCTTCCATGAAAGATTGGCCTAGGCTCTGTTTGGTCTTTCTCTAATAAGGTGGTGGCCATCTCTTTTAATGACCCAAGTAAATTTGGGGCCAACAAACCCAATATCTAGTAGTTCACAGAAATTCATGCATTCAATATATGCACGGATACGGTATTGGGGAACAGTGTTGCCCCAAAATTTTTCATTTTGGGCAATAACATCATTAAAGTCCCCAATGACAACCCATGGGTTATTGTTAATTTAGGAAAATGGCTCCAAATTCTCCCAAAAAAAAGATCTAATCTCAAATTGAGGATGGCCATAGATAGTAAATAAAATCTAATTAAAATTAGAAAAAGAGGGATGAAATGTTACCTGGACATTGGCATGAATGACTTGCAGGCTCGTGCTCAGAATATCCACACTGAATTTCCTATCGTCCCACAGAAACCAAATGCCTCCAGCCAGACCATTAGCATCAACGATAACTTTCTTGGAAAATCCTAAAGCTTCAGCAACCTCACTAGCTTTAGTCCCCGCCAATTTTGTTTCCATTATGATAAAATATACCCGGATTGTGTTGCTTGATGATATCCATGGCATTTCGTTTGAAATCTTGGCTAGCTACACCACGACAATTCCATGACAGGATCTTCATGGTCCAAGTTCTTTTACTGAAGGTGGTCATCATCCACCTAGCAAGTTCTTAGAGCCATACTAGCGGACCTTCCTTGTTCAAAACCATCATGTTGACTCCTGGGAAGTAGTATGGCAGCACAATCTGCTTGTATTGGGACCGGGTGCTCTATATTTCCTCCTTCTTGACTATAAGGTGCACAGTCCTCATGCATCCTATCATCCTGAATAGACATAGGAATGGGTGTTGCACTTGCGTTGTGAACAACTTCGGAGCTATTGGTTCCGACCAACTGTCCCATCTTATTATCTCCGCCGGAGATGTCCATACTGCCTTCTGAATGATACATGATTCTGGAGACAGGTGCTCCAACGGCAGTGGAATCCCATCCATTGAAAGAGGAAGAAAGGGGGTGGGATCCACTCCTTTCATCACCAAAATGGGCTTGAGCCAACAACTTTGAAGAGTCTCTAACGTCCAATCCTTGATCAGATGTGGATTTTTGCTTGAAATCAGCGTTAGAGCCTCTTCTAGTGAAATAAACTTGTTGTTCTCGTTGATCAGCAAAATCTCCCACATGTGGTTGAGTTTGGTGAATGTGATTGGATCCATGATCCAAAACTGCAAGGGAGGAGGTGGATCTCGCTGGGGGATTATTCTTGACATTTTGTGAGTTTGTTGTTTGGGCAGTAGATCTTTTAGAAGGAGGAGTCTTCCCACGTGTCGGAGGAATAGAAAGTGAAATCTCATCCGAATTAGTGGATTTGTCAGTAGTAGTCCTTCTAGTGGCTTGCAAGGATAAATTAGACTCATTAGAATTGGGTTTCATAAATTAGGGATCCAAACTTACTTGTTTTGTAAGGATTGTGCTCTGGTGGGCTGGATCGTGAGATGGGCCTTCAGTCTCAATCATAGAAAGGGAAATTGTATTGTGACCTTTAGGATTTAAGCTCAATGGTTGGGAAGCCGTGATTAGTCCGTTAGTGGCAACGGTCTCCACATTAATTGTGGTGTCAGAATTAACATTTCCTTTTGAAATTAAATTTCATGACCCATTCCTTGACCCATTGAGTCGACTCACTGAGTTGTTGTATTGAGTGTTCCTCTACTTCTTCTTGTTCCTTCGTCGTTCCACAAGCATCCATGGTCCAAAGCCTTGGTTATCCAGTAAGTCATTGCTACTTCCTTCAATAGGGCCTTGTGAGTTTTGGGATTCAATAATTTGTTCCTCAAAGACAACCATCGGGTGGGGGATTTTGAGAGGGCACTTATCTTCTTTATGCCCAACACACCCACACGCATAACACAGAGCAGCAGGCCCTTCATAAAGCACTTTTTGAATATGCTTCCCAATTCTGACAAAAGGAACTAGAGGTTCATCAAGGTCAACCTGAATGTAAATTCTAGCATACTGGTGTTTACACCTAAAATAAACCAATGAGGCCCTTCACCAATGACAAAATGCTGCTGTTGAAACCCACGTGGTAAAGGCCGGCTAAGGATTTTTGGGGAAAACAACTAGCCTCTTGATTGATGAGCAGTATGTGCGTCTAGACGAAGGGGGGTACCCAACATATTCCCAATTCTCTCAAGAATTTGGACATCATAGTACTCAATAGGAAGGCGTGGAAGCCTTGCCCATATTGCTATGGTCTTGAAAGTGGCTTTAGCAGGATCAAAAAAAGGTTCCCACCTTCTAATTGTGAGAAAATGAGGACCAACAAACCATAGTCCCCCATGGAGAACACAGCTAAGATCCTCTTCTTATGGAAACGAATAAGAAAGAAATCCAAACCCAAATCAATACAGTCCATTTTTCCTCTTGGCTTCCATTGAGCCTTAATTCTAGGAAAAATATAATTATATCCAGCTTTATCTGTCCTGAAGGCCTTGATTATGAGAGAGTTAAGCCAAGGTGTGCGAATTCTTTTCTTTTCTTCTCTAGATATGAGGATAGTAGGGATAGTCCCATCATCCTCCATATCTGAGTCTTCTTCCAAAGCTTCATCCTTGTTTGAACTATCACAAAGGATAGCAGTAGGTTCAAATGAAGAAACCATATCTCTATATAACAGCTGTTTTTGAAAAGCTTCAAATAATTGATACTCCTCAGCAATAGAGGAGTTGCTATTGCCTTTGATGCGTTTGACAGATCGAGATAGAAGATCAACTTCTTGGGAATTCAGAGTTGGAGTTGCAATAGCAGACATGTTCGAGAGCACACTCAAAGTTAAGAAAGAAAATACTCTGAAGCTTGCACTCAAATCTTCCTTTCACCAACTCAAATCATCATCTCCCCAATTGGTTTGGCAATTTACCAACTTACATTACTCATAAGGAACTCGTCGCTCTTTGTTGACCACTATTAAATTTATTTGGTAAGCTTTCATGTTTTGTCGTTTTTTATTTTTTTATTTTGGTTGCATAATGAGAGATAATCATATCTTATCCTTATTTTACTTCATTCACATGCTATGTGATTTAAACTCAATATTTCTTACTTTCAATGAAAAAAAATTACCACTAAACTACTTAAGTAATTGAATGTTTTGTCGTTTTTAATCACAAAAACTTC